ATTCCTGAGTTATTAATCAAGCTCTAGCAATAAATCTCTTTGTAATTCAAAGCAAACCTTGTAATACAAACCCATGATGCACTTCCTTAGGCAGAGAAAAAGGTGAGGTAGAAGCAGAAGGAGGAGGAAACAAGGAATTAATGTTACAATACATTTTTGGGGTCTTGTAAACAAACGTAGATTTTGAAGCCACAGCACAGACTCATAACACAAGCATTTCTCATATTAGTCAAAAATATTTGAGAAAAGAAGGGGGACAACTGAATCCCAAGAGCCAAGAGCTTTCAGTTTTACTCTCAGTTAAGACAATTATATGAAGTGTTCTGAAATAGTACATTTCATTGTCTCTTCACTTTATTATTTATTTTTTTTAACAAATTTTCCAGCTAAAATGTATAAAGACTATGAAGACAACAATCCAAGGTAAGTTGGAAAAAAAAAGTTTCTTTCTGGCAAGGGTGAAATAAGTAATAAATAATAACAGATGGCTTTGGAGGGATGCCATAGGGGAAAATCCAATATCTCATGCAGCCTGCCTGGCAATGTTGGAGAGCAGGGTGGTTGTGGAAAAAAAGTTTTCCAAAGAAAAAAGGAAAAAAAATTATATGGGAGAGATGCACTCCAGTCATTTTATCAACAGTGAAATAATTGCATGCTAATATGATAATTTTATATCCTGAAGGAAGTGCAAGATGTTGAGCTAAACCACTACTTACTATCACTCAAACTCAATAAATCTATAATAATTAAAAACAACTCTCAGAAAACAAGGATAAATTATAGGCTGATATTTAATACACTTGTGGAGCAATAATTTATATGTACTCACATTTCATACCTTTCTTTTACACATGATGTTCAAAAGCAATAAACTGGAGCCTGTTTACAGCTGCTGGATAGCTCATGATCTGTTACAAGTCTGTTTCTCTTAATACATAAAACATCTCCCCAAAAAACTCATTTAGTGCTTTAGCTTGTATTGCAAACTGGTCTCAGAGGACATGAACTGGGTTCCTTTCAGTGATCATTAATATTTCTAGAACTATATCAAACAGTAGCTTAGTAGTCTTGAGATTAGCTTTATACTTAGCTAAGTTACAGGAAAGAAGATTTCAGTTCTTGGCTGGATAACAAATCTCTCTTCAGAATACAGACATTGTAATTCCTTCTCCTTCTGCAAAACTGGCATTCCCCCACCCCAAATATTTTTGGTCTTGTTTTTTAGATCACATACAATTTGCTATTGCTATATGTGTGTAAAATGATTAGAGTAGAATAGTTTTGTCCTAAATAGAGCATATTCTGTGAATTAAAAGTATTTTTCCATTCCCCTGCTAGCTATGACGACTATTACACAGAAGATGACCCAGTTTATGGCAATCTCAATCAAGATGTTTTAGGTAAGCTTCACTTTAAGAACATGTGTCTGGTCAGAGGCTATAATAAATGTGTGGTTAGGAGCTGACTGACCAACAGTTTCTGTGTTTCTCAAACAGCAAACTTGAGAATCTGTCCCTTTTCAATTGCTGTATTAATACCTACTTGGGATAGAACTGCAAGCCATCATACTGCACTACTATTTGTAAGACCAGATCTCATACTGTATTTGACTTTTTACAGTCCAAATGGTCCTGTTCAGCCAAATACCTCACAAAACAACAGCTTTTCTACACGTAAAGCTGCACCAATTGAAATAACAGCTTGATCCATGTGTGTTAAAGCAATCTAAGACACATATTACTGCCCAAAGTCAATGCTCCCGCAGAAGCTGGCAGAAACAGATGCATACCAGTTCTCTGCTGTGGCTATACGCAGATCACCAGCGATGTGGACAAATATGCTGAAACAAGCCCAGTGGCTGAATGGCAGGCAGATGTAGCTTTTCTCTGCTTTACTGGGCTGAAGTTAATAACCCTTGGCAGAGAGATACCACATTCCATGCAGTAACACCATATAACTGCAGCTGGATCTAGGTATGCTGAGGGTATGCCTCTCGAAGCCCTTACGGTGTTAAAGTAGTATTTAAGTAACACGAACACAACTTTTTTGCTAGCCTTATTTGGGATTAAGCAAAACTGAACTGAAGTATTTGAACTGCGGGGAAAAAAAAAACCAAACCCAACTTCTTCATATAGGGTTTGCATAAATTTAACTAAGCCAACACTCAAATGTATTGACACTACAAAAGCCTGAAAACTGTAAGGAAGGAATCTGTTTTACTGGTGGCTAAAATAAGAAAAAAACTTGCACCAAATTTACAGAAAACTGAAAGTAGAGTTGGGAAGAGAATTTAATCACCAGCTGCTGCAACTCACAGCCTCTTCCTCAGCCAAAGCAAAGATTGCCTATACTGAAAAATACCTAAGTATGTGGTTACCCGCTAATTGCAAGATGTCCTCCTAGCAGTCTAAAAGGATGCCCACTTAGTGACTAATGAGAAACTTCCCATCCACATGAACAGAAAATTATTTTCATTTTCACGGTATGTGTGTCTGAATGTCTTAGCTATTTGCCCCTCTATTTATAGAGGAAGAGATCTGTGTGTGATTTCAAAACAAACTTCTACCAAAGTAGACTGGGGGGAGTTAGTTCTGTAACAGGGAGGATCTGTTGATCTGATCTTTTAGGACTCAGTAGTGTGTCTTAACTAAAACATTTTTCTACTTTGATAAATTATAGAGGAATGTTGTTACGAGCAGATGAAGTCCCAGCCTCAAAGGCCAGTTAACCAACTACAGGTACGTTTAATTTTAATTCTGGATTTCTGAATTAGGGTAATGCGGTCTGTCTCAGAGTTCTTGTGTATATCCCATGACAATATACAACAAAAATCTTCACACTGCTCATCACAAAAATTACCATGCGTTACTGTCTCAGTTCATCAGGGAATTTAAGCACAGACTTGACCCTTTGTTCAATCTGGGTCATTAATGAGGGAGCAGAAGAATTATAGACAGCTCATTTCCATCCATATGGCATGATAAAGCTCAGTCACAGGCATGCAGATCAGGCTGAATTAAGCCTGCGTCTACTGCTGTGGCTTATGTAAAGAATTAATTTTATTTATTTTGGACATCAACCAAGTGAAAACACAAGCTGTGTCACATGATAATCATGAGTTTGACTGGCCCTCTCCTGCTCAGCACAAAATCTATATGCCTTAACGAATGAAAGACGACTTTTTCTATTGATTTGTATTGAGATACTTGAATGCCTAAAAGCATGCAAGCTTCAACTGAATTTTGTCTGTATTTGAAGCATTCCTAGCATCTATTTACTGGGTTGATTTCGAGGTATTTTGTAAGGAGCGATTTCTAGCCTCTCTCAGGATACTTCCAGGGGTTAGAAATATCTTTTTATTTAGTCATTTGTTTTCATTAACTTCATGGAAACAGAATAATCTGTGAAAATTCCAATGTCAAAAGTGTTTGACTATTTGGCTTGAAAAACACAGAGAGAGGCAGGGGAAAGACATACAAGCATACCTTTTGCACTGGTTTATATATAGCTGGAGATTATATATACAGACAAGAATCACCTATCTTTGGTTTTCTGCACAGACAAAGCCTGTGAAAAATGTTGTTGCTAACAACTGGATTCTGATTTAAAAGAAAAAAATGGGAAGAAAAACAAATTGAATAATGTCTTGCATCCGAAAGAACTCAGACTGATTATAAAAGCTACGCTCATTCCCACAGAGAATCTTTCCAATACCTTGATGAATTTTTCCTTACTGCCACTATCCTAAGAGCATGAGTCATTTACCATTAGGTTATGTCAGTCTGTTTTCTGTGCTGCCACATCTTTTGTACTTTTAATTAGTTCATTTACAGCTAGTTTGGGTAAACTTCAGCCACTAGTATGATTACAGTGTAGACGCACTCAGTCTTAGACACAATTTTAAAGCAAGCATAACTACTGAATGTTAAATATACAGTGAATTTCCTTCTAGGTGGAGTCTGCCAATCAGATGTGTTATGCCTCACTTGACCACAGCGTCAAGGGAAAACGCAGAAAACCAAGAAGAAAGACAGACCCTTCACTAGAGGAGGATGAAGAAGAAAGATCATCTAACCCCACCGTGGCTTCCAAAGTTAGCATTTACCTCAATAGCGAGCAGCTGGCTGCTGAAAACACGGCAAACGTAGAAGCCATTCATGATGATCCCATCAGATTAATGGGTTTGATTCATACTACAAAAGGAGAGAACATTTGAAGTGGCTTCACGAACCAAATACATCATCATAAAATGAAATCTGCTTGTTCGTTCTGGAGGAACAGTGAACAATCAGAGGTAATATCCTGGCAAACCGACATACCAAACAATGGGATAAAATGGGTAAGTTGTGTTCCAAAGTGTCTTCCAAGCATGTTTACGGACTAAGGAAGCAATAAGATCCAGACTGCCACTGTGAAGGACCTGCCCTTCTGAAGACATTTTGAAAGGAAGTTTTAGAAGCTGGTATCTCAGCATCCACATGGTATTGATTCCTGTAAAAAGTAATCCTTTGTTTAAAACAACCATCAACTTTCAAACAGTCCCAAAAGACCCACTCTGTTGTCTGTAGAGCTCTAGCAGAGTATAACTATTCCTCTATAGAGATTTTAACAGTACTTTTGGAAGGAAATTGTGTTTCATACTTGCACAGTTAATGATTTGGTTGTTTTCCCAATTAAAAACTGATCTGCTGTTCAACACTGTGTACTTTCCCACTATGACTGGTCTATGGCAATAACACGATATATCTAAAGCTAATTTGAGAATAATTTAACAGCATGTTTAAAGAAGTAATTGCACATCTCGCAAGAATTAACAATATCCTTATATATCTTTAGTTTCCTTCTGTGAGCAGTGCCAGACTACAGCTCAAACCTCAGCTCCTCTACTAACGTAATGTTGTAACCAGCTGTATTCAAGAGTCCACAAAGATGCCAGCACATGATCTGTAACAATAAATCTCCTAGGGAGGATTTTTTCCTTCTAATATTCTATGTGATGTTTAAATTCCTATTGGGCTTTACATTGCCATTGTTACCAACTATTTTACAAAAGTAGAAAGAGCTTTTAATTTCCCCAAAATAATTAATATACTATGTGCACATTCATCTTCAGACTTTAAACTTATCAGATGGTACGCTTTTATAGAGTGGGGATTTATTTTTATATTCAGGGAGTCAATAAGTCAATAGCAGGGAACAGCAAGGCATGTTGATATAATATGCCTACCTGTAGGTGTTGGACAGTTCTGCCATCTCAAAAAAAGGATATTAGTGCCTTTAAAATCCACGCAGAGCACGGCGTCAAGGAGCTTGAAACTCACAAGCACATAGAGAGTCCTGCAAGTGTTTCAGGTCCTGAAGGAGATAGCCCTGAAAGCAGTTACAAAAACGAAAACAAACAAAAAGCCCACAGTACAGAGAGCCACCATCTCTTCTAAAAGCAGAAGCAGATGCCCAGAGATAGGACAAATTTATGAAGGGGGGGGGGAAATCAATGTAAAAGAAACAGTTCTTTGACAGCCTGGTTCGTTTAGTTTGGCTCATGGTTAATGAGCCACTTTAACATGCCTTAACTTCTACGCTAGACCAAAAGGAAGGGGCCAACCCCTGCAGCCAAAGCTGCCCAGTGTCACTGTGTTATCACAGTCGTAGACCAACTACCGTTGGATAAGCAAAAACAAATACTGTTGAAGAATCGATAAAAACCACTTTAATGAGAACCATATTAAATGACGACCCTGAGTAAGTTCCTAAGGGGGGGAAAGGAGGAAGGCAAATCCAAAGCCAAAGATCCAAAGCTAAACACCTAGATATCAGTGCATTAAGTACTAACTTAATTTGATTAGATTGGAAGGAATTATACTTTGTTCCATAGTAGGAATAAAATAAGTAATAAAATACCTATCAACATACTCTTGCTTAGACTCACATATCAAAATTGTTTGAATAGCATTAATATGTAAAATATTTATATAAAATATTTCAATTTAGCTGGTACCAATCAACTACAATACTCAGCACCCTGAGACAATTAAAAGAAAAAGCTTTCTTAATCTCTCAAGCAAATAAGCACAGGCCCAAGAGTCTATTTGTTACTATTTTCCAACATATGCATGTAATAAGGGATGCTGTATTTTCATTTAATACAATTTGTGTACACTTTGTACAAGAGACGCTCTTTCCCAATTTTCTCACAGCATTTGCACTTTTGATTATGCCTTTCCTCTAAAAACTCCAAAGCCAAAGAACTTCTACAAGTTACCTAAATTCAACCTGTCATTTCAGCCTGATCATTAATTTAACAGAAATGAAGTACACACTTCTCTCATGGGGTGTACATGTAACAATAAGTCCACTTCATGGGATTTAGGTACATCTAGTTTCCTTTAGACTAATGGAGTAATGTCATCTCTCAGTACTGATGTATCAAGAAATACTGGGAAATCATTACCTCAACAAATCCAAGAAGGTATTTCACAAAGCATATTCCCTACAGTTCATCCACGGATGAACTTCCTGGAACAGGAAGAAAAATGAGCCACAAATGCATTTCTAAAGGACAATCTTTTGTTACTGTTGTTGAAGGAAACACAATATGCAAATGATGAGGGACAGAACACGTGTGTGCGTGCGTGTATTGCAGAAGTTCTTGTGTTATCGCAGAGTAAACCTCTCTGAAGCTGGCTTCTTGTTCCGTTCAAGAACACCACCACTTAAGATAATAAGATATTGGTTTTAAGAGCTAAAATAACATAAAACACTCCTGTGTGCCCAGAAATGAAGTAAAGCCAAAGGACAATGATTGTTTCCTTTTTTGGAGCTCAGAAAACTGACAACGGGCAATGCTGATAAAACAGAGTGTACTTGACCTGACACCACTAAAACAATCTCCTTGCCAAGAAAGAACACGGCAATGAAAACCTGCGAGACCCTGCCACATCATTCTCAGTATTTGCTGTGGGTATACAAACTCCTCCTGAGAATTCACATACCTGAAATAAAATGCTGAAAGCAGGTATTTGTTCAGAATAGGTTTTTATTTAGAATATATCTTGTGTCAGGTAGAATTTTGTTAGAACACAGAATATAACTATCAAATCCACTAAAAATTATAAAATTTTATTGAACAATCAACTCTGGTGAGCTACTTCAAAAATATAAAATTACGTAGCAAGGATATTGCAAGTCATAGCGTATAATACTGCATTTGGATCATCCAGCCCAGTTTACATTTTTTCATTCATTTAGTACTGATATATCTATAAAGCATGAATAGGCAGGAATTTAGCAGAAAGAGCTTGTTACTTATCTTAATACTAATACATTAAGAATCAAAGCTTATCAGCAGATAAAAAGATAATACAGATTACATTGTTATTATAAACGCTACCAAATACATAATTTAAACTTAGCCATAGATAGGAACCCTGATTCCCCGCAATACTTGATGAAGCCAAAGGAGTAAGAAGCCCCCTGTCAGAAAGGATGAGCCATTTCCTGAAGATTTATATTACAGGGAAGTATAAATCAGGACGAATTGTATATTACATACATATAATACACCCTTGATTCTTGGAAGAAGAAAGAAAAACAAAACAACCCATAACTTTATAAAACAATGTTTTCTCTGTTGCAGTCCATGAATGCTCCTTGGTGAGTTTTGACCAGGAAGTCGTCCAAGGGATTGCTAGGATTTTGGTCTTTCCCATCAGCGTAGCTTAGTTTTCTGGATACTCTACAGAAAAGAATTGTTTAGATGATAAAGTAAATTACACGGAAATACTATGCTTGCTGGAACTCCAGTGAACAGAATGAAATCTAAACAAATCGCCAAAGCAAGGTATCTGAACATCTTGACTGTGAACAGCAGCAGGACTCCTTGTCTGCATTCCTATGTGCTTTCAAGCTGGAGAGGAAACTTTTCATCCTATGTCATTTTAATGTTTCAGTAATGCTACTACATTAACCTAAATTATACAAATATCTATTACTTGGACATGTATTCTTTGAATGTATTCACAAATAGCTAAAAATGAAAGATACAAGTGAAAATACAATTATTTCCTTGCATATTACTTAAGAAATGGCATAATTTTTTTTAACACCTATTTTAAACTATTTTGGTTTTCATCTGACAATTAAGTATAGCAGTATAGCTGTAGGACAGCATTCACACAGAGCTGAAGAAAAGTTTATTAGTTATGAACATTTCCTTTTCTGAAATATCTCTTTCGTAATCATCTTCTAGATAAAGGCAATCAAGTTCCAGACAGGAACACAATATTCCTTTTCTTTCCACAACCATTCATTACAACATAGAGCATTTTGCCACATGGCTTAGGCATAAAACTTCTGAGGGCTGTGAAGCCATTAAAGAAGAGCTTGTCTCCTGGGAACTGTAGAAGGCTAAGAATATCACACCACAAGCCCCAGGAAGCTTGCCAGCTGACAGTCCAGTTTGGCTACAAATCAGCAAACATGCATTTGTGTAATTAAGGGACAAAGAAATAGATTTTTATTCCAGATGGCTTGGCAAGAAAGCACTTCATGAAATCCTGATTTCCTACTCTCTCTCAAACGTCTTTACTTACACGCATTAAGGAAAACCTTTTCCTTCAGAACAATTACTAATCTCATAGGGAGGGCTACTTTGTATGGAGTCAGGAAAAAAGTGAGGAAAAAAAAGAGGGAATCCAAGAACTGAGCAGAAATTTATTCAGCTGAATGGGCATACTCAACATCACAGAAACATCCTTGTATACTCATCAGCTTGCCTCCAATCTTCCATTATATCAAAAATAATCCAAATACAATCTTTACCAATATTGTTATATATTTGTAATACATGCCTCTAGTTTTAATTCCATCTTCGCTTAAACTGAACCTTTTTTCTTTAAATCATGCAGCCTCTTTTCTGGTTAAGTTCTCCATAGATGCAGTTTAAAAACGCCTTCAGGCTTCCTTTGAAGTTTTAATTTGAACGTTGTCAGAAAATCTTTATATCAGCTGTATGATCATCTCAAGCATAGTGAAAATATTTCTTGACTGAGTTTGGGAAGGCAGCATATCTTGTGGTGCCAAATTAGGCTTTTTGGCAAAAAGGCATGTAAAAAATGTTTTGGAAAATAAAATGAGAAACTGTTTAGAGAACTTTTAATGCTTTTTAATCTTGCTGCCTATTAAATTAGTTTGCAATTAAAAATCCAAGAGATCTGA